TGCTAAATTTAAAATGAGTATTGTTGTCTGTTGTACCCAAAGTTACTTGGTTCACTTCACAAACAGTGARWTAAAAATAAGACTTTAAAACAATAMAAATTCCAAGCATTTACAATTTTCCATACATGATACAACATTTAAATATGTTTTACTCTGAAAATCAAAGTTTTTGGCAAATTTTAATTTCTATTCAATGCCTACATGGTACAGTAAAAACAAATTTTACATTACAAAAATGTTATTTATATTTAATGATTATTTAATATTTGAAATTGAAGACAGAAGATTTGTATATATTTGGATTTATTATAACTTGATTACTGCTAATTGGAGGAGGCAGATTCCTGATCTATCAAAAAGTGAAAGCAATCCAGACAGCGGTCTGGGCCATTCAGAAGCTGTCGGGCGCAGTGGATGGAATCTGCCGTTCTGGAAGCACACAGACTCAGCTGTTGGGGGAGATAAATGGCTAACTGGATGTAGTTCTGAGGAGAATTGCATCTCAGGATGATGCCTCTGGCATGTAGGATCACATCGGGGTGAAGCTCAAGATGGTGTAAGGCGAGAAAGACCCCAAATTCAGCCTATTGGAACTTTTTTTGCCACTTCAGAGATGCAAAGTCATTAAAAAGCAGCAGGAAAATTAAGCAGCTTTGTCCCAAAACAATTGTGTTTATCTGTTAGGCTCCCAGCTGCTTGGCCTCGACTGCCATGCTACCAAAACTCCCCAGGATGATATGTCAACAAGGACTTGATTTCTTCCACAGCCCCATCACCCGTGTTGGACCTGTCCGTAAACCCAAGGCCGAGGAGAGAAAACTCTGAACTCTGGTGAACTGAGCAGGAGACAGTAACATCTGGACTCTGGTGAGGCGGGGCAGGTTCTAGCATGGAGAATCACCCTCAATGTCACCGGCTCCACTGAGCCCCGCCCCATCTCATGTGTTACCTGACCTATAGATCCCTCCCCTTCCCAGATGTTTTGCTCTGTAGCGAGTGGTTTTTTTGTGCATATGATTTTATGTTTCTGGCATAAATATAAGATCAAAGAAAAATTTAACTCATCTCTTCTATTGTGTATTTCCCAGCTGCAAAAGGTTCACCTGTTCCCCCATATTTTTGTCATGTGTGTCCTCTTGAATGGGTGTTCTTAACTGCAGTTTTGTTCTACATTGTATCCATGATGTTATGTTTGAATGACAATAAAAGTAATCTGAATCTGAAAAATATAGGTAAAAGTTAACATATGTAATARATTTCTATCAACTTATATTTTATAAATTAACAGGTCAAAAATAGATACATTTTAGGTATTAAAATATTCAATAAGTGTTTTCTGAAATACTGTTTTTTACAAATGTGGTCTTGTATTTTGAAGGTTTAATATGAATATGAATATTTACGTTTTGCCTCTGTGACAGCCTAAAAGCCTATTTGATAGAATAGATGTGACAAACATGATGACATCACGCTGAACATTTAAGTATCTTCAAACAAACAAAAAAAAGTGTTAAAAGGAGGAGAACCAGTATGGGGGCTTTCCTGAATGTGTGTGTGCTCCTAACTATCTCTCTTGTACTGTGCGTTAGGCCATCTATTGCTTCATCTTGTAAATTAAGGAAAAGGTTTCATCTTAATGAAATGCACGAGCCTGCTGAAGTGGTTCTGGGTGGGTTGTTTGAGGTCCACTACACCTCTGTTTTCCCTGAATGGACATATACCTCAGAGCCACAACTACCTACCTGCACAGGGTAAGCATCGTACAAATGTTTTAGATATAGAACTTTACTATTATTTTTCAGTAGTAACTGTTTATTTAATGACACTTCACTCCGCAGCATTTATAAT